CATCATAAAATTTGACAATTACAAGAAAATCATATAATGATAATAAAATATATTGTATAATACATTTATATAATATATTTAATTATATATTAATATAATATAATTATATTATTATATTAATATAACTATAATTCATATAATATGTTATATATTAAAATAATATATTTTATTTCAAAGGTAATTTTTATTTAAAAACCAAAATAACTAAACAAATATTCATTTTGACATTGACTCAATCGAATCGTTTTGACATTTTTTATTGCATAACAAGAACATTAATACAACATACATATATAGAGGATCACAGTGTTTTCAACTATTATCAATTACATTCATAACAGCATCAAAGGAACAAACAGAAAAAAAGAAGGAAAGAAAGAAAAAACTACTTCAGGGGATAACTTGCAAGCAATTTTCATAAGAAAGGGATTCAAAAATTCTATACATCCTTTTTGCTTTTGTATTTCTTAGATCTTTTAAAGCTTCAATTCTTAACTACAATTTTAAATAATGTAATCAGACCATTCTGTTATATTTAAATACGTCAAGTGCGGCAACCAATCAGCGTGGAGTGGGGGCGTAGCCAGCAAGAATGACGGAAACGTCTTACATAGCGGTGCAGCTTCAACCTTACGGCACCATGATTATAAGTATATATATTCTCTGTTTAAGACATTGAGTGACCCTATGGATGTAATTTGGAACAAACTGAAGATTGCAAACTACTTATTTTTGTAAAAGCAGGATTAAAAAATGAGCAACATCCTCCATGCAGCATCAAAAGTGAGATGGAATCAGAGCACTGCGGCGAAAAGAGCGGTGTTCCTGGCGGCCGCCGCATACGGAGCGAAGACGCTTTACCCCATCATCTGCAAACAAATAAATCAACGGAAAACAACCAAGAACAACACGTCTGCACCGGGACATGAGAATGGATTGATATCTGCTCCTAAAGCTACACCAGAGACTGCTTCTAGCCTTAGTAAATCACCCGGCGTCAATGCGGAATTCTTCAAGCAGGTTCTTGAACTGGTTCAAATCGTGTTCCCGAGGTTTGTAACTAAAGAACTGGGTTTACTATGTTTACATTCACTAGCTCTGATTTCAAGGACGTTTCTGTCTATTTATGTGGCAGGTTTGGATGGTAAAATCGTGAAAACGATCGTAGAGAAGCAGCCGCGGAGCTTCATGATCAAACTGATGAAATGGCTTCTGATCGCCATCCCGGCCACATTTGTCAACAGCGCGATCCGCTATCTGGAGTGCAAGCTCGCGCTCGCGTTCCGCACGCGTTTGGTGGATCATGCTTATAAAACGTATTTCACCGATCAGACCTATTATAAGGTCAGCAACATGGACGGGAGGCTGGCGAACCCGGACCAGTCTCTAACCGAGGATGTGATGATGTTCTCGCAGTCCATTGCGCATCTGTACTCAAACCTCACCAAACCCATCCTGGACGTGATACTGACTTCATATACCTTAATACAGACTGCGAGATCTCGGGGTGCGAACGCAACCGGACCCACTCTCTTAGCGGGTCTGGTGGTGTTCGCCACGGCGAAGGTCCTGCGCGCTTGCTCGCCGAGGTTCGGTAAGCTGGTGGCGGAGGAGGCGCACAGGAAGGGCTACTTGCGTTATGTGCACTCCAGAATCATAGCCAATGCAGAGGAGATCGCCTTCTATAGGGGACACACGGTGAGGAAACGCATAATGCACATGTGCATGCATAAAAATCAATATAACATTAGTAATTGCTTTCTGGGGGGCATAAGGCGAGGAAATGCATCAATCATATAGTGCAAATGTGATTGCTTATTAAATTACAGAAGACTTTTAAACGTGTCAGACACAGTGTGCACATGTGCATAGGCCTACATATATAAAAATGTTACAAAAATGCAAAGGAAGTCACATTTTATGGGGACATATGGTGAAGAAGTACATCATCCATAAGTGACCCTGCCTGGACCACAAAGCCAGTGGTAATGGTCAATTTTTCTGAAATTGAGATTTATACAAAAGCTGAATGAAGACGCTTTCTATTGATGTGTGTTTTGTTAGCATAGGACAATATTTGGCTGAGATACAACTATTTAAAAATCTGGAATCTGAGGGTGCAAAAAAAAAAAGAGAGAAAATCGCCTTTAAAGTTGTCCAAATGAAGTCCTTAACAATGCATATTACTAATCAAAAATTACGTTTTGATATATTTACGGTAGGGAATTTACAAAATATCTTCATGGAACATGATCTTTACTTAA